TCTTTGTGCACATGTGTTGCATTCCTTTAGGTGTGTGTACACGTACATATGCACACTATATATTTTTGTCATTTTGACATAGGCAATTATTGTTTTACAATTCTCTATGAAAGCTGAAAATCTGAATCAAATTTCTATAAACAAATGTTCTTTCTACAATCAATTTTCAACACATTTCAAAATATTTATATTTAACATAAAGAAATATATTAGAGTGGAAATTGATACTGAAGATAACTTTAAAACTTGAGTCATTTCTAAGGTAAATTTTTAAGAAACTGAAACTGAAAAATCAGACACTAAGGTTCAAATATATGAAGGCCCTCTTTGGAAAAGATCTCTGTAAACTGGTTTTACCAGTAACATTATTCTCTATCTGCAGTGCTGCAGCTACACTACGAATTCTGGGGAGAGTCCATGCTGTGGGTTTCCATCTGCATAGTTTGTGAAGTTACTGCACTTTTCATTTCTTTAGGATCACACGCATTACTCCTAACAGCTTTCCCACAGCAGTCATGCTGTTTGTCTATTTCGGTACATTAAGGCCTTTACGTTTTCCACCAAAAGGTCTCAACTGAGAGCCCATTCTTTTATGCATGTGACCAATGCATTCTAATTCATCAGTTTTAGTGCTGCTGCATTTTTGTTGAGCTAATATTTTTTGTCACTCTTTACTGTTGCCGTTACCAAGATACTTTACATATGTAACCCCCTTTGTATCCTCTGATCTTTCACATATGCACAATGCCCCTTCAGCTTCCATTACACCATTTCCTGCACAGTCTGACATATGCAGTTCCATTCATGGTTTCACTGTATTATTTTAATGCAAGACAGAATTATGACAAACACAACGTCTGCAACTTTCCCAATATCTACATTTATGGCAGACACTACACCGTGGGGGTGGGGGGAGAGGAAGTTTGACTTCTTTTCTGCCCCCTCCATCAAATTGCAATTGTGATATGATTTGAACAATAATTTTCTTCAGCAGCTGACTGCATGCACTACATACACTGAGTACTGAACATAATGTTTTGCTGGCATCATCCCCCTTTCCTGTACAGCACATTCCACACATAAACCTGAGATTTACTTAATGATCACTATAAAAGAGTTTGGCTGTGTCAAAGGGATGTTCCTTATTGAAGATGTGACAAACAACAAGACGCATATATTCTCATGCATTCTTTGCAAAATGCATTTAAGTTATTACATCCACCTTGTACTACAAAATAAATTTACAAAGTCTGAAAAATTAAAAATGTCTAAATCTTCAAAAATTTACAAAATCTGTAAACACCCACAATTTTACAATTTTTGGAATTTTCAAAATCCAGAATTAAAAGTTTCATAATTCACACATTTGAAATTCCAACGCTTAAAATTCATATTTAAACCTAACCTATACTAAACTAACATAACAAACTAACCTAACCTGTCCCAAACAAAACAATCTTAACATACACAAAAACTTCCAGAGTAACAACTGTAAACAAATTCTGACAATAGCCACCAGATCGCAGCACTTCACTGTATAACCTCACCATTTCCTTCATCCGTCATTTTGTTATCACAGCTCGTAGGTTATTCTAAAGTATGATTTTGAGGTCATGCAGAATAGCACAACCTCCACAGCAAATTTCATCCCAATATGTCCAGTGGTTTTCTAGAGTTGAATCAACTGACACGCTGTCTCACATGACCAGCCCATAACAAATTCTTTGAGTAAACAAAGCATAACTAGGCATATGTTCATCAACATCTTTCAAAAGAGACACAATCTGCATTTTTATAAATACACAGTATGAATGTCCTAATGACCTTTGACAAATGATCAGTCAGTATCCACTAATTGAAAACCTGTTTTCTGTTTCCAGCTATCTACTTTTTATTGCATAATTCTTCACAGAAATTCTTTGCAGAAAACACTTTTATGCATGAAGAACTTTGTGGAATGTGAAATGACTAAAGTTGAAGGGGTGACTACAATATTTACAATGAAGACATTAGTCTTCTGGGTTGGAATGCCATGTGGATGTTTAGGTCGATTCCTGCAGTCCACATGGCCCGAGAACTTCAAAAGCCAATATTTACACTGTTCCCACACATGTCAATTGCTTTTATTCACATTACTGTCACTTTAATTAATATTTACAATACTTAAAGAATATCTCTTGTTCTCATGCTGATTTCCATTGCTTTTTCTTTAATCAAACTTCCTTATTAGCCCCATTACAACCAGAAAATACAAACAATTTTCAAAGCGTGTTTGCCTGCCATACTTTACCTCCATAGAACTTATGGCAGCAATGATAATGCTGACTCTAGAAAGTGTAAATTTCTCTTCAAAGTAAGAATGAGTTCACAAATGTAGCTAAAGAACATAACCAATTATTGCTTATAATGGAGATGTATTGTGTTTTCTTTGAAATAACTGATATTTTAATACTGAGCTAAGTTCATCTTATAAATTCCCACTAGCAATTTAGTCAGTTTCTTAATTAAAACAATCAACTGAAAGTGTGTGAAAATAGTTGGGAAAACTGTTCTTATGTCATTCTAGATTCATGAATAACAAGTTGTGTACACTTCATATACTAACATATGCTCTGTACTAGTTCACCCAGTTAATACTGTGTAAAGATTATATAGTACTTAGTAAGTAGAGAATTTCTCTAGCAGGCATGTTTTATAAGATGTGATATTTACATTAGCAGAATGACATGTTGCAGTGTTGTGCCCGAGATTGAACCTGGTTATTATGGACTGAATGAAAATGACACATTTGCATTCAGTGGGATTCTGTCTGCACCAGTCGCTGAGGGTACAGTGGCCAATGCGATCAGTTTCCTACAGAAGACTTATAGTAACACTATGAGTGCAGAATTCAGTTACCTTGAGGTATTTGTTTTATACTATGAATCAACTGCATTGACATTCACAAAATTAAAACACGTTAATCAAAACAGACACTGGCCTTGAAAATTGTGCACTTCCAATGAGGAGAAATAAACATTTCCCACCACCACTTCAGACAATAAAGATACTGTCATAATTAAAGGGTGTGACTACTATTTATGTATCTCTACTGTATTTCTCCCATTCCCTACTTTGTACAGTTCATCATCATACTTCTCCCCTGTATCAGGTCACATAAGTTGTTATAGTTTCATGCCACCTCTTCAGTTGCTCCTCAATTCTTCCTCCTATGCATGTACAGTTGGGACTTCACACGAATCCCTTTTCATGGTCTCAACATTTAAATCTGTGAAGAAATTACAAGCACATCTATATACCAAGTGACTATTACTGTGCAGACAATATATTTTTGATGCAGTTACTAGAGCTGCTTGGAGGAAAAATTTCTCCCATTATTTGTTTTGTTTTTCTTTCTGTGCAAATCTGTCTGTACAGCATCAAATTTACATTCTTACAAATGTTCCCAGAAACATTGGCAGTTTGGGGTCTATAGCAGTCAACCTCCATTCTGAAGGTCTTGATACAATTTCTCCTTCATGACATCTGCCTCAGTTTAATGTTATGATCAGATCTGTGTAAAGTATCATTATTGTTGCAGTACACACTAAAGAACAAATGTACATGAACAGAATCTGAAAATTTTCAGAATTCAGAGGAAGCAGAATGGTTTGCAGAGCAAATGGAACAATTAGTACACAAAGAGCTTGATCACAGCAAAAGAAAAAATCTGGCTAAAGAAATGCTTAAATCACAGGCATTTGACAAATTCCTAGCTACTAAGTTTGTAACAGTGAAGAGGTATGGAGGAGAAGGTGCAGAGAGCATGATGGGCTTCTTCATGGAATTTTTCAATACATCAGCAAATGGTATGTGCTAATAAGACATTTAAGCTGTTAAAAATAGAAAATAAAGAATTATGGCCGTCATACATGCTGCCCAGAATGATTGAATACTTCCAAACATATTAGGTACAATAACCCTAAGGATCATTACCATTAATATAAGCCTTCCAACTTTATCTATCAAGACATCATTAAATATTAAAATCTAATTCACCAACATTAATTTTAATACTGTCTTCATACGTCTTTGTTGGTCTTTCAAGAGACCAATTTCCAAAAAGTTTCCTGATCCAAAACTTCATAGTCATATCATGTTTTCAATCTGAATTACATGTTCAGTCCTTCAGTCCATCATAATTTCCTTGATCCAACTACTCTTTGGCAATCAAAGCTGGTGCACACAAGACAAACTTCCGTACTATTAATATCCATCATTCCACACTTAAAACATCTCATCTGGTTCCATATATCTTCCTCAGCATTTTGTTTTCAACTCATTATCATCAGGCAGAGTAAGTGAGAGCACGTTTCACAATCATGCAAGCAAAGAGTAATATCAACTTTAAAAAATACTGAGAATGGTGTTACAATTGGGATCACTAAATTCTTGAACTATGTCCACTGACTGCATTTTTAAAAAAGAACACTATGTTTTGGAAGCTGGAAATGCTTCCGTCCTCAGGTTAAAAAGGGAGAAGAGCCACCTACTCAGTTGGGTCTGATAGAAAGAGCTAACCTCAATCACTGGCCCAGCAGTTTTAAAAACATAAGAATTTAGTGATCCCAGAAGGGTGATATGTAGTGACTTTGAATAATGATGAAAATATGCTGATATTTGAATTGAATAACTGATTGATTGGTGAGCATATGATTTAGTGCATCGTATCTGACTTATCTCTGGGATATAGCCAATTCAGGCTTTCGCAGATCTTTCATGATTTTCCATAACATTCTGGGATAAATAATTATGTAGCACATTCAAAAACACTGTGACTGTGCTCTCTCCAGTAATCTCATTTCCACTCTCACATGTCAACTAACCTTGTAGTTAATACAACACTGCTAAAAAATGTATGAATCAACACCAGATATGAGAACAGGAAAATTTTTCCACAAGTTAAAAATCTTGTTCATGTTAGTAGTACAAACAAAATTTATAGATTACATGAGAATCAATTAATTTTACTGGTCTTCTAGCATAACTTGTTCTCTTTAATTTATACCTCTTTCAAATTTCAAAAGCTGGTGTGGAACAGGTGATAATGTGTATGCCACATCGCGGGCGCCTCAACGTGCTTACTGGAATGCTTCAGTTTCCTCCAGCAAAACTCTTTAGAAAGTTTAAAGGAATATCAGAATTTCCAGAACATATTAAAGCTACTGGGGATGTTTCAAGTCATTTCAGTAAGTATACCTTTTAAATAGTAATGAGGTTACTGATAATTATCTTGGAGCTACTGTTTTAAGTAATCTTTAATTCTCATGTCAATTTTTCAGCATCTTCAATTGATCTCACCATTAATGGGAAAACACTTCATGTAACAATGCTACCAGGACCTTCTCACCTAGAGGTACGTCATCATAGTAAGCTGTGAAAATTATGTAAAGTTTAATTGCAACAGTCTGCAGTGTATAGGTAGGTCTTGTTTTCTTCCACACAAAAAAGAATCGAAATATATCCAAGTGCAGCAACTTACTTTTACCATTTCCATTCAGATTTAACATAAGATCCAATCCTTGGAGTGAGCCATGAATGTAAAGTAAAGCCATCCCGCTTACACGCCATGTAGCTTCCTTGGTGGGAGAGGAGATCTAGCTCCTATTCATTCTTGACCTCAGCACTAGACAGGGGTGAGTGGTCAGCACCATGCCTCAGGTGCGCTTTACTCCTGAGAAAGGACGCTGGGTGGGCCCCAGAGCCAGTCTGGACACAGAGGCTAGAGGAAAAATCCTCTGCCCCCGTCGGGGATCGAACCCCGGTCGTCCAGCCCATAGCTAGTCACTGTACTGACTGAGCTATCCTGGCTCACCTGAGCCATGAATGGCTGTATTTAAATTCATAGCTGCAGATACATAAAAAATAAATCTGCTTTACAAGTGGGAACACAGCTGTATTGATTTAAAACAGCAGAAGTCTTATAACTTCTGTTATCATAACATACTATTTACTATAGTGAAGGGTTATTAACTAGATTGGGTCCAGTAACAGGCTCCTGTGAACAGAGATGAACCTTCAACTACCATAAAACGTGAGGAATACATTGACTAGGTGAGTGATTATAAACTTCTCAAGAGTATCCTAGTTTAGTGTTATCTGAACACCATATTCCCAAGTGGGAGAACTTCTAGGCTACCTCAGAATAATTATTCAACATACACATAGCTCCTGCATCCACAGCTTGCTTATGATGGAATCTATTAGTGAGATTTCATGTTATCAATATTGGTCATTTAAGCTGTAATAGCAGAGAGTGTAATTATTGACTAAGAAATCTGATGTTATCATTTGCAGGCAGCAAATCCAGTGTCCATGGGAAAAACAAGGGCTCGACACCAGTCACTAAAGGAAGGAGGGTATTCTCAAACACATTCTGCTGCATGGAGTAACAAAGTACTCAACTTGCAGGTGAGTGTACACATATGTTTAATAAGCCTCAATACATCAAATTTTCTCAACTCTTTCAGCCCAAGTTAAATTTACTATCTTGTGTGTGCCCCTGCTCCAGGTTTTGTCTGCATAATTATCATAAAAATGTTTCCTCTTGAAAAAGAGATACAAGTATTTCTTTTGATCAAAATCACAAAAAACTATGAAGAAACAATATAACAAACTTTACAATTCAGGTTAAGGACAGAATGTTTCATGCCCAGCACGTGTTCTGATTACTGTGTCTAGTATATATATGGAAGATCAATGGTTAAAACTGACATATTTCTGTCTTCCTCAATTTCTTTAGGCAGTGTCTTAACTGCTACCTGAGCAGATTCTTTGAAGCTATGGCAACTTTCAAATCATAGTTTGTAATATCACTACTGTCTGCATTAAGCAAGACATAAAAGTGTAGAACTTTAAACTATGTAACCAACAAGAAGTATCATATTGAACTGCATACTTCCTTTTACCTTAGTCGATGCTAATTTTTATGCAGCAAGCATAAGCAATTTGTCTAAACTTGTATGAAATGAAAGAGGCATGCATTTTCATACCATGGAATAAGTAAGTGAATAATTTTCATCACCTAAAGGTGAATGCAGATAATTATACTCCGAGGTTCTTCATAATTTATACTCTTCACTTAATATTGTTATGGTGATCAAAATAAGAAAACTTAGATTGATGAGGCATGCAGTGTATTTTAGATAAAATAAATAAGAAATGCATAAAACAATTTGGTTGGAAAATCCTTACTGGGGAAACCAACAGAATGTAATGATATGAATCAGTTCAGGACATGGCTTTACTAATGACAATGATGAGTCTTGTGGTATATAAGAATGGTGGGTGTCTTGTATAACTACCTAATACTCAAGATAGACTATGATTTTTGCATCATCAGGTGCATGGTGATGCAGCTTTTGCAGGCCAGGGAGTGAATCAGGAAATGCTGGAATTGAGTATGGTTCCTCACTTTGAGGTTGGAGGTTCAGTCCACCTGGTTGTTAACAATCAATTGGGCTTCACCACACCAGCTAACAGGGGACGGTCATCCAGATATTGCACTGACCTTGCTAAGATCATTTCAGCTCCAGTTCTACATGTCAATGGAGATTTCCCAGAGGTAGGTACAACTTTTAATAAACTCAACATATTAAGTTATATATGCATGTTATCGTATAATGTGTTACTTTCTAGCACCACCAGATATCACACTAAGCAGTTGCCACGCTGCGATCTGTTGAGACTCATCCCCTCGCTTGGAGGATTTGCTACTACCACCAAGATCTGCACCGGCGGCGGCTAGGCACTATTTGGGAGGTCACAGGTTCTAATCCTGGCCCAGAGATCACGGTTTTCATGGATTTAAGTCAAAACATGACTGCGTCCTCATATATCCTTTCCAATTCATTACCTAACAATTATTCTATCATGCAATGATATATAATCTGAGGTACTGACAGCATCATTATTTAAATCACAGCTACAGTAGACTTTAAAGTCTGAAGAAGTGTAAAGTCCCATTCACACCTAAATAACATTTCCAAAAACAATCAACATTGGTCAACATCATGGAACAGAAAGATTTTGTAACCGTTTCCAGCAGCGTTACGTAGGGTCGGATGGGGCTCAATAACTGCTTATGGCATCAGTGCTAACAAATAAACTGTTTAATACAGACACAATGTCCCGGCAACTATGGTGTTTGTGATGTGGAAGAAAACAAACACTACCATTATAAAGATAATTACATCAATTTAGACCTGTACTCTGCAGAGGAATGGAATGAAAATTTTGTCTATAGTGTGGACAGAATATTTAATGTGATTTAAATTTTAGTCTCACAATGGAAAAGAGAATAGCATGGAAACAAATTACCTTTTACTCTTGATATAAATTGATTTTTAAATAATATAATAAGTCAGTCTGAAGGATATGTCAAAGTGTGTTCTTTCTACTTCCTGAAATATATTTATTGCACACTGTGCACTGTCATTCTTTAAAAAATATATGTCTTTTCCAGATGGTGGTGAAAGCAACTCATATTGCCTGCAAATACCAACGAAAATTCCGCAAAGATGTATTTGTTGATCTCAACTGTTATCGTCAGTGGGGCCATAATGAACTTGATGATCCTACTTTTACAAATCCAGTCATTTACAAAATCATCAAAGCTCGAAGGTAACTCTGGAAATATGTCAAAAAATATTTAAGAAAGAATGGATTGTAAGATGTTACTTCATCATCATCATCATGAACATAATCAAGGATCAGGTCTCAAGAACTGTTCCTTTAAAGCTCAAAGTGTTCTTGGTCTCTCCATCTGCATCTAGGTCTTACCCTATCTTGCCATCTCCAAGGGTGATGGTGGAGGGCTAATTTGGATTGGGCAACTCCTATCCATTCATTTCAGGTGATCTAATCAGTTCTTCTGATACAATTTTATGTCTTCTAATATGCTGTTCCCTTTAAACTGTTACAGATGTCATAATTTCCTTCATGGTCCAGTATTGTTGCCTAATAATGGTCTTAAGAATCTCATTTGTGCTGTTTCTAGTTTTTGGGCATCTCTCTCATTTATGGTCTGGGTTTTGCTGCGTGTTACAAAGCCGCTGTAGAAGTGAAATTATGTAATCATAAGTTTGTGTCTGTTGCCATATATTTTGTTTAACTGTTCCATTCATTTTGTTGTATCTTTGTAACTTGATATTTACGTCTTCTTCCTCATTTGATATTACATTTTCTGCTAGTTAAAAGTAGGAACTCGTTCTATAATTTTGCCTACAATTTCTACATGAACCCTTTATATGTTTTTACCCCACAGTGCAATTTTTATTTTGGAATCAAATATTTTCATATCATATTTCTTAACAGTTTTATTTAATTCACTGGCTGCTTCTTTCAGTTCATCTTCGGATCTTGATTTCATAACGTAACCATCAACGTACAATATCATTTGAATTGTTTTCCCAGCAGTCAATTGGATGCTGTTTTGAGAGGATAGCTTCCATTCTTCTAAGGTTTTATTAATGTATGCGTTAAACAAGTCTGGTGATAGTCAGGATTCTTGTCTTACTCCTTTATGGATATAGTTTTGGATACAATTTCAGACATTATGCACCCTCTGTTTTTCTCATAACACAACGTTTCGTAGACTGCATCTATCTCCGTCATCAGGTAAAATACTACACTGTGGAGTCCCTTAGAAGGAGCTAGTCTCAATTACTGGACACCTACAGGCAGCTTAGGAGTTTCTGTGATTTGGTTTCATACAGATGATCTGATTTCCCTGCATCATAGAACTGTTCCAGATATGTATGCTGATGTCTTAGTCAGTGAGGGTGTGATAACTAAAGAAGAGATGGAGAGTATTGTGGCTGAACATTCAGGATGGCTTAACGATATCTTAAAATCCATAGACACATATATTCCTCAGGTAAGAAACAAATAATTGATTTAATGGAATTAATTAATCAGAGGAATAAGCTAAGGTAAATGCTTACAGCTAATTTGTTTGTGAATCTGTATTTCACATCCGGTAAGTGAGATAAAAAGCTTCAAACATGGGCAATTTATGGCATATTGAAGTACAGCCCAAACAGCATTATTGTTTTGTCTTTGTTACTACACACTGCTTTTAAGCAGATGGTCATGAAATTTCTTTAACATTTATTATTGTACTGTTCTTCCATTAAAGTAATTGTTAATCAGCACTTAACCACACAGGTAAGGACTGTGGGTCACTGTGTACTGACAGCATGTCCACGTGACTGATTCAAAATCCAAAATTGTGATAAAGATTTATTAAATTTTAAACATTCATTCCTTATATAGAATTCTTCATCACAATGTCAAAACGATTCTTCTAACAATGACTTTTCTTTCACTTGGATAAGCATAATATACAACAGAATATCAGCTGAACATACATTCAATAAGCCCATGTTGCAGGGCAACAGTTAATTTCATGGTCAGAGAATAACTATTAATACATTTATATTTCATTCAGTCTTGTGATTTCTAAAGTCTGCACTCTCTGACTAAACTCAGTTCCTAAATATTTATTTCCCCATTCAGTGACTGAATCTCCTGATATATTTTTAAACATCTACATACAGAATGTATTGGAAATACGTGTTATAACTTACGGGGTGATACTACGGTCAAAAACAACAAGAACAACAAAATTCCACATAAACATGTGTCTAACATAGCACATGGAAATAATTATCCCTATTTCATGTAAGGGATACAAATAATGTCCTGTTATAACTAATGCTATTGCATTTTAATTTAGAGCAGGCCTTTGTCTACTTGTGGTAAGTACAATGACCTCTAGGTCTGTATGGAAACAAAATAAGACCCATGTTTATATTGAGCTATTTTATGTTTCTGAACATAGAATTCACCCTACACATATTTCTTACATTCTGTATCCAAGTAAATGCAGTCAGAGAAACTGTTTGACTGACTTGTAGCCTATTATTTCAGGAAACGTTTCTGAGGAAACACTGGGCAGGAATCCAGCAGGCTGATGCTGCCATCACAGTCTGGGACTCTGGGGTTGATGTGGATCTACTCAGATACACTGGAGAGAAATCCGTTGCTTATCCACAAGATTTTGTAAGTTTATTACTAAAATATTCATATTTGATGTCAAATACAACAAAATACATGGTGTAGAATATAGGGCATGAACTTAGTTACTTTGCATATGCCAAAATAAGAACTATATCAGTTGTCATATAATTATTTTGGTGCGTTTCAGACCATTGACTCATCATAAAAGCTGTTTCTTAGAAGTTACCATTTACTTTTCAAACATCATATAAAACATTTCAAAATTTTGAGTTTGAGCAACCGTAACAAAAACTACCTTTCAGGAGCATGGATATTGAAATTCACTTCTCTGTTAAAGTCTAAAGATTGATATTTTGTGTTCACCATACTACTTTGTAGAACATCCCATAAGTAATTTCTGTGTTACTGCCCTTCTATAATCCAAGCCCAGGTTACTGTTTAAACTATTATAATACAAAATTTATAGCACTATAATGTCTGAATTAAGGAATATTTACAAATTCAAATAATACATTTGTTGTTGTAAAAGTAAGGTAAGGAGAGCAAGTGAGAAAGAAAGATGTCTGATATGTATGGAGCAGGAAGATGTTATATATTACTGTAATGTAAGGACACTAAGAAGTAGAAGGTGAAGTATTTATGTAACAAATGGCTTAATATAAATGAGAAGTTAGATATTAAGAGAATAATAAAGTTGTATTAAGGTGGCTGATTTAAAAAATATTGGTAGTTAGATTTAAATGGGAGAATAAAGTCAGCAAGATTTAATTACAAGTAGACAGTAAGAGAGAAGAGAATTATAGGTGTGCAAATATGAATTACATAGTATGAGTGTAGCTGTAATGGAAGAAGGTGCTGAAAAGCTATGGGCCAGAAGAACCCAGTGTCAAAGGGACACAGCCCTATATGTAAATGACCATAAATGTTACTACCATAATTATCAGATGAAAACTCTCTATTACCTATTTGCAATATTGTGATAGTAATAATCTGTAACTGTAGCTGAAGCTACTGTTTTATCTATAGCAGTCAATCAAATATTTACAGCATATTAAATAAGTAAAAGAGAATTTACCTATTAATTGACTACTTCCCTCAGTATCAAACAGATTGACAAGGAGCAATTAAATATATATTAACTTACAATCTTATAATAATAATTAAATATTAAATTTGCTCTAAGAAATGGAAGAGAAAATATAGGAATATGTTTTATAGATTACATGTTATTTGGTAATTATTATTGCTAAGGAAAATTTTTAGAAGTACTGTTGCTTATTTACCAGTATTAGAGTACAATTATTTATTATTAGTGTTCTGTCTGACGACAGGTCCATATATTATGAACAGGATCCTTCCATCCTCTTCAGGTTGTCAGGGACCTGCTCATACATATATACATTCTTGGCAGAGATGATCAGAAGTGGTTTGCCATTGCCTTCTTCTGTGTGTGTGAGTGGAGTAATTGTTGGGATGCCACGGAGAAACCGGGGAAGCCCCCGGAGGAAAACTCCGTGATGCCTAGACCACGGCCTTGCCCAACACAAGTTATAAATTTGAGCACCACCGGGAATTGAACCCGGGACCCCAGGATTACAAGGCTAGTGTTCTGACCGCTAGACCACCGTGACAATATTTTTATATAATTGCTTGGCATGGAGAGGGTTCAGTTTCTGAAAGAGAGTCCTCCACTTTCATTCAGATAAGGCAAGTAAAGAAAGACTGGATAAGATTTAATTAATAATCAACAACTTCATAAAATCTTGTAATAAACAACCAAATTTATAGGTCTCACAGCAAAACATGGTATGGTATTCATACTCTCTCGGCAAATTATCTTTTCAGAATATTCATCCTCATTTGCTGAAAACTCACATAAGTGGGCGTCTGAAAAAAATGTCTACTGGAACTGAAATTGACTGGGCAACAGCTGAGGCATTGGCTATTGGATCACTTCTGTACCAAGGTACTGCCACTTGTTTCATATCCCTGCTTATCTGGAGATAAAACAGCCAGGCTGCTGGTTTGTGGTTAAGAATGCACAGATCTTTAATATTAGGTTCACTATACATCCTATATATGTATTGTTACTAGATAGTGTATACAGTTTAAGTATAAAAAAATATATGAAATTGATAAATAGATTTGATCTGAGAGTCATGTTTGATTAACACTTGTCCCTGACTATACTTTTGAAGCTAAAGCAAATTTAAACAGTATTTCAGAAATTAAGTTTGTATCACAAATAAAATAAACACAATACATTTCCATTACAAATATCAATTTTTGTGACACCAAAGAAAGTAATCACTATTTAATCTGAGATTTATAGAAAACAAATAAATGCACAGTGTGGACATTATGCAGATTTCTTGACTGTTAAAGCAGATGGTACATATAGTTACTACTGGGCTGTAAATAGTTCAGGAACATAAGTAAAGCTGACCCACTCTGCGCCATGTAAGCACTTGGTGGGGGGAAGGGGGTATAGCTCCTACTCTTTCTTAACCTCGGCACTAGGTGGAGCGCGTTAGCATCATACACCGGCTGCGCTTTACTCCCGGGAAAGGACACCAGTACCTACTGGATAGGAGGATGGAATGTCCCTGATAAAAATCTAAGATATTTTCTATGGAAGATTTTCATGTTGTTCTCAGCTGTTAGAAACAAATTATAGCATAGGATCTCATGACTGTTTCCTTTCACATTTCAAGCTCATTGTTCCCAGTGATTTATTAAGACTATATAGATCCTGAATCCTTTAAAGCACCATTAACTAAACTAAAAAAAATATATTACACTGAAAGTGGTGATAGAAATGGATTTTCAGTACCAGCAACTAAGATTTTGATGTCTGTATGCCAATGAATTAAGTATGATGGATCTTAACAGTTCCACTAGTAGAAAAGATGCCCATAGTACAGGGCATATTCTCAATAGCTGATCAAGTAAGTTAAGTATCCAAGTGGCCTCTTTCAATGGGGCTTTCAAATCAAAATTGTGTATGTTTCTGCTAAAGATCAAAATTGGTGTCAATATTAAACAGCTAAGAGAGGAGCTATACCTCCACTCACCCCAAACGCCTACATGGCGTATAGTGGGACAAACTTTACTTCACTTTACATTCTCAACACTAGCTAAGTAATCAATGTTAAAAGAATGCATTTTGATCTTTATCTGGGCAATATTATGGTTATCTATTAATGCATGGCTAATGTCAGAACATGCTTGCCACATGACTGCAAACAAAATAAAATGTGTAAATTTTGAGGTTTTCACAGCGGTGAGTATGAAGATTTCTGTCTTCTGGGTTGTTGCGCTGTGTAGTCTGGTCGCTGTTTACCAACGTTTCTAAGGTCATACTGCCTCCATCATCAGGGCAATGAATATGCTGGTCACAGGCTTTGTGATTTGATAAAATAATGAAAAACAGGGCTTATGAAAGGAAACACAGGTCACCATAGCATACAAAGCAATGTTTGGCTGTCATTAAAAATTAAGAAACTGAAAGGGACCCTCAAGAAATACTGAACAGCATGACAATCAGACTATCAGATGAAAAATCTGTCAAACATTCTGAACTCATCCAGTGATGGAGACTAGCTCCTTCTAAGGAACCCCTTGTCGTCCTTATTTTACCTGATAACAAAGACAGATCCAGTCCCTGAAATGTCATGTTATGAGAAAAAGCAAACAATAGATAATGTCCAAAATTTTAGCCAAAACTATTGCAATACACCATCATCAATATCCTTTAGAATGATCTATAATGACTTTCTGTGTAACATGATGCAACATGTAATATGCATACATTGTTTTTATGAGCAAAATTGTGACAATTATTTGTAGTGTTATGGATGTAATGATTTTTTATGTCAAGAGAAGTAAAATGTAGCAATTTCATATTGTTACATTAACAATTTTATATACATGCCATAAATTTATTTAAGAATTTTCTGTTTGATAGTAGATGCCCTAGTTTGGTGAACCTCATAATTACACAGTACATGTCCTAAACGCATTTTATTTTTAACTTTATCGTGTTCAATAATGTCATTAGCTGGATAATATTGACAACAGCTGGTTTCAGTTGTTAGCTGTAGCATATACAGTAGGGCCCCGCTTTTCGGCGATCCCCTAATACGGCACTTTTCAATCGCGTACATATGCCCCACGCGCTCAACAGCTGAATCAGAGAAGTGTGTCCGGCGCCATTTTCTCGTCGCTGATTCAGTCTGTTTACAGCTACTACTGATATTCATTTTACTTTCATATAGTTTTTTTAGGCCTAGCGCTATTGTGCACTTACTATATGATAGTGTAAACATCTTATTAGGCTTTGATATGCATTTGCAATTGAAAAAAGGCAAAGATCCGCTTTTCGGCAGGGGTCTGGTCCCTAACCTGACGTATATGAGGTGCCATACTGTATAGCCTACATTTTTAAAGCTGGATAGGATAGAATCATTCTGCATGTCCCTTGTTTACACTCTTAGTTGGCTAAAGGCATTATCCTTTCTTACCCTGTTCTAAAATTACAGGAATACTATTACAAAACATGGAACTTCATAGTCAGTATGCTTCATTCAGCAAAATATGTCATATTAATCAAAAACATAAATAGTTATGGCATTTCTGCAGTCCTTTTTGACAAGTAAAATGAAGTTCCACAATAAATAAAAATTTTCCACTTTTATTTGCTATAAGAATGTTTATCTAGCTCTTTATGGTAGTATGAGGTGCAATGGCAATTAGGATGTTGTTATTCTCATTCCTACTGCATCAGATATATTTAAAATAAAATCTGTTGCTTCTCAGGATATAATGTGCGGATCAGTGGGCAGGATGTTGGAAGAGGAACATTTTCTCATCGTCATGTTATGTTAGTTGATCAGAAAACTAATGAAATGTACATTCCATTGAACAATTTGATTGAAACACAAACAGGATATTTGGAGGTTTGTATGACATGTTTCTGCCATTTGTATATATAGAAGGCACATACTCAAATTTTCATTTCAACACAATATTTAAATTAAGGCACTTTGTGTGAGGAAAAAAATTCAGTTCACAACATATCCTCCAGTTAATATTGTTCTTCTGGATTTTGGCACTGTGTAGATTCATGGGTGGATGCAAAAATTTTTGAGAAGTGGATATCAACAGGGAGCAGGAAAATGTCAGAGACTGTATCAAAATTTTTGGCAAAGAGAAACTAGGATACTACAGGAGAAAGCAAAATAAACCATGGTTTGATGAAGAGTGTTCAAAATTAATAGATCGAAGGAAGCAAACAAAATTTCAATGGTTGCAGGACCCAAACAAAACAAATATGGATAATCTATGTAACATGAGACGTGAAGCTAGTAGAACCTTTAGGAATAATAAAAAGGGAATATTTGAAAGGAAAAATTATCAAGATTTAAACAAATAGTAAGGATAAAAATGTCAGAGATCTCCATAGATGCATAAATGATTTTAAGAAAGGATATCAACATCAGACTATTTTGGCAAAGGATGATTATGGCAATTTCCTTGCAGATAAAATCAAAAATTTGAATTGGTTGAAACATTTCTTTAGCCAGTTCTTAAATGTTTATGGGACTCATGTTAGACAGATTAAAATACATACAGCTTTACGGTTAGTGCCAGAACCTAGTTTAGATAAAGTTAAACTAGCCACTGGAAAGTTGAAAAGTTATAATTCTCCAGGTATTGATCACCAGCAGAATTAATTAAAGCAGGTGGCAAAAGGTTGGATAAGGAGATCCATAAGCTTATTCAGTTAATGTGCGATAAGGAAGAGATGCCACAACAATGGAAGGAATCCATAATTATTCCTATTCATAAGAAGGGGGACAAGACTGAGTGTGGTAATTACTGAGGAATTTCTCTATCAACCTCATATAAAATTCTATCAAACATTTCTCTGGCGAGATTAACTCCATATGTGAATGAAATTATTGGGGATCATCAGAGTGGGTTCAAACGAAACAGATCAACGATTGATCAGATATTTTGCATCTGTCAGATACTAGAGAAAAATGGGAGTACAGTGGGACCATCGTCAATTGTTTATAGATTTCAAAAAAGTCTATGACTCTGTTAGGAGAGAAGTGTTATATAATATTCTCACTGAATTTGTTATACCAAAGGAGCTAATGAGTCTAATAAAAATGTGCTTAAATGAAACTTGTAGCAAAATTCATATTTATCTGGCACTGAACGTCATGGTTGAGTGGTTAGCACTCCTCCTTTGTATTCTGGAGGACCCTGGTTCAAATCTCGGCCTGGAGACCGGCTATCCTGACTGGGGATTTTCGTGGTATTCCTCAGTCCCTCCAAGAAAATGCCGAGATAGTACCTTAAATTAGGCCACGTCTACTTCTTTCCACAACCTCTCATGCAATGCTAAACCGTTAAAGCTGCTGAAAAAGCATTATTAAATAAACTACAAATAAATAAACAAATTGACCATTATACCTACAACATATAACACATTACAATACAGAATAAATATAAGCATCACTAAATATGTCTTATAAAGTCAATAATAAGTGTCACCTCAAATTTCTATGGAATGTTCCAGCAGAAGGAAGTCTCTTTATTAAGTAATTTTTTACAGCACAAACAAGATATACATAAAGTATTTTGATACCAAAAACTCTCAAAAATGAAATGATTAATTGAAAATTTTTATGAATGTTATAAATGAAGGATTTCTGTATTTAGAATTCTTGAGAAAAGTTTTACATGAACAATCAATTTTACTTTTCCAATAAGAGTAGACTGCCACCCTTGCTATACTTAGAAAAAGACAAAGACTGCCCTATTAAAAATAAACATTCATGTAATCACTTTCATGACTTGTATTACTGAATATAAAGTAATGTTCTTTGCAGGTTGCAAACAGTATCTTATCAGAAGAGGCTGTGTTAGCGTTTGAATATGGTATGAGCATTGAAAACCCAAATAACCTCATCATTTGGGAAGCTCAATTTGGTGACTTCTTCAATGGAGCTCAAATCCCCATAGACACCTATATTACAAGTGGAGAAAGCAAGTATAATCCCATAAGGTGTTAGACTTGATCCTTTTATATTAATACATAACAAAATTTGATTATCAAATAGTTCTGTAGTAACTGAAACAAACAGTCTCTGCTTTACCATACATTATGCCACTTTAAGTTAAGGTCTGACGCTTCTGTAGGCATGTCATGAGACTTTGAGATCAGTTTTGCTGCTCTCATTTAAACCTTTCAGTCAGCACAGCTAGCAAACAAAGGCTTAAAAGTAATATTTCTAAGGGAAAATGAGTAGTAGAGAAGAACTAATATTGGTTTCTCAATTTGGAGTCAAATTTTTTTGAATTTCAGACTACATGAATAAAGGCAGTGGAAGTGCTCTGTAACAAGGTGTGCAAATTGAACTTCACTGAAATACATTCTTCTGCTCTTCATAGTCTATTTCTAATAAAAATATGTTCTGTCATATTGTGTGGTTGCTACAGCAAAATGGATGATGTGTAGTGGTTTGACAATGCTGCTTCCACATGGGTATGATGGAGCGGGGCCAGAGCACAGTTCATGTCGAATTGAACGCTTTCTTCAGCTGAGTGACTCAAATGAATCAAAGCCAGATGGTGATGATGTCAACATTCACATTGCAAATCCAACAACTCCAGCTCAGTACTTCCATCTGCTTCGAAAACAGGTTTGTGTCTTTGAAATTTACAGCACTGGCTGTCATTTCTAGGAATTTGAACAGGTGCCATTATTTTAATCTGGTAACTTTATTTCTACTTGCCTTCTGTCATGAATGTATGATTTAAACCACTGGCCAGCTATACTAAACATTCCATAAAAGAGTAGTTTTTACAGTAATAGTTCATGATTTACAGAATAAAATGCTTTAGAAAGATTAAAAGATGTTCCACTATAACATGCATTTTATTATTAAGAGCACTTAAAAGTTCATCCATAAAACTGAAAAGGGCTTTATCAGTTGAGAGACTTACCCTAAATCCAAATATTTCACTTGCAAGGAGATTGTTCAAGTTGAAAAGTCACTTCCTATCTAGTACATGACTTTCTCAAATACCTTAGAGACTGCTGTTAGTATTGAAATTGGTCTGTAGTTAGATATCTAAAAAATTTTTTTGTTTTTTTTTATATTGAGGTTAAACTTTTGAATATTTAAGTCATTCTGGAAAAACTTCTACTAACACTGAGTGATTGCAAAGATAACTTCCTAACTAACTAACTAGATGGCTTACGGAACCCGAAGGTTCATCACCGAATTAACCAAAGCCCTCCACCGGACCCTGTCCTGGGCCAACAAAATCCAGTTTCCTTCAACTCCTGTCTCCCATAGATCCCGCTTCATATTATCCTCCCATCTACGTCTAGGTCTCCCCAGCGGTTTCTTCCCTTTAGGCTTCCCTATCAACATCTGGTGCACACCTCTTGTCCCATCCATGCGCGCTACATGCCCCGCCCATCTCATTCTTCTCGACTTAATCACCCTGACAATATTGGGGGAGGAGTACAAATTTTTAAGTTCGTCATTATGTAGTATTCTCCAGACCACATCGTCTTCTCTCCTAGGCGCAAATATTCTCCTCAACACCCCATTCTCAAACACCAGCAATCTATGCTTGTCCCTCAGAGTGAGAGACCATGTTTCGCACCCATACAAAACAACAGGCAAAATTATTGTTTCATATATTCTAATTTTTAGGTTCTTAGAAATCAGACAAAAAGACAATATTTTGAACTGAAAAGTAGCAAGCATGCATATAATGAACAGTAATGCAGTCTGCACAGCTTTTGAGTAAAGTTGTTGATATTTCATCAGAACGAAATGAATTTCTTTGATATGAGAGAATTTATTATTCTTTTAGTTTCATTTACTGTTGTGGGCATAAGATTTATGTTTGGAAGGCTTTTACAGATTGCTTGAGTAAGGAACTTTGCTGGGTCTTCTGTTGTTATGGTTGTAGTGTCATTGTTCACTCTTTCTATTATTAAGAATTATTGCAATGATTTGTTAACATTTGAATAAAAATTTTCTTGGATATTATCCATCGTCTAGAAAATAAAATATAAAACGTAAAACGACGTTTCGGAGATGGGACTCTATCTCCGTCTTCAGGTGCCTACTCAGTTTGTTAACAGTTTGTTATTTTTTATTGCATTATCATTTACCTTTATTAATGGGGCCACTTCTTCTGTAGAATATTTTTGTTTCCTTTTTTTATAATTTTCCACACTATTTTAATTGTGTAGAATCCCTAAACATAGCAACAAATATGTGTATCTAAACTACACTGTAAAAATAATGTTATAATCAACCTTAAAATAAATAAAAATTTATTTCAAAATGATTCTGGGCCAGTAGTTTAATTGGCCCCTTTTAGATCAAGTTATTGAAATACTTTACAGCAGGCTTGAACAACTTGAAAGTACATGTGGTCCAAAATGGAAACTGCAGAAGTGCTTCGGATCACAGTCACATATTTCCTATATGATAATTACATTAGTTAAAAGTATGTGAACAGTAAGCATTAATAATGTGTAAATAAATACATTAATGTGTTATTTTAATAGCTGTATTAATTAAATTCAAATACTGGTGCATTATTTTAATATTCCAATTTGTAAGTGCGCGAATTCGGTAACATGTTGTTATTAATTTTTTTGGTTATTAGAAAGTACAGACTTGTATGATGGGTCAGGTACGGTAACTTTAAAGAATGCAGGTAAGAAAATAAGATTAATGTGTCCCACAAACCAAAGTATTTAATTTTTAATCTGGAACTTAAAAGATGTAACTAAGCTGAAAAAAAGCAAAAATTATTTTTGAGGTTGCATTGCATGTCAATCAAGGTAACCCTTAACAAAGATCGGTCGAGCCGATCACCCCTATGCCAGTGTCAATCTTTCCGGGGGCCACATGTTGGTACTTTCAAATAAACGTCGACTACAAGGCTGTAAAGAAAGTTACAGGGTTTAGCTGAAAATAAGGAGACAATTCACACTTACGTATGTTGGCTGTCAGTTGTCTTTTACTTGTGACAGACCCACATACGTAAGTGTGAATTGTCTCCTTATTTTCAGCTAAACCCTGTAACTTTCTTTACAGCCTTGTAGTCGACGTTTCAAAGCGTTTCCATATTTATCATAAAAGTTACCTTCGGTTATTGGTGGACTGTGAACTTTTGTTAGTACATGTCACGTTTACTCATCCAGACTTTTCGCATGAAGTCGTCACTTGTCCTGGACCGAATATATCCACATTTCAGTCGTTTTGGTGGTTAGGATTTCTAGTACATAATCGCACTTGCCGTTTCCAATTTTTTTACCTAAGAGATCTATTGGTTAGGCTTGTGAGATAGATATCACATAGGTGTTTCCTCTGTGGCCATTAGTTTATAGGAAGCACCAAATGTGAATCCTGGCTGCTGGATTCTGTCTAATTGGACTTCATCTTCATCAAGTCCCATCTGCCATCCATTTTCTCTTGTCAAAGTCCTGTTGCAGCCTAACCCTTGCAAAGGCATGGGCTCATACAATGACTTATATCTTCATTTAACAAATTAATCTTGGGTGGGCTAGAATCATTACAATCAAAATTAACATAGTTCATATTCACTGGGATATGCAGTTCACTTTGTATCATTACAGGTCATGCAAAATTACAGGAAGCCTCTTATTCTTGTGACCCCAAAAACTCTGTTGCGGTTACCAGAAGCCACTTCAAGTCTTACAGATATGGGACCACAAACCACATTTACACCAGTCATAGGTAAGGTGATATCATGTGTGCCTGCTTTCCTCACATTCAGGAATGTTTCAATGGCACTTTTTAACTAAACTTTTTATGGCCATCCTTCCCTTTTTTTGATCTGAAGAGGTCAGTGTTCATTTCAGTATTGTTTTGGTCTTCTTTTGTGACTTTGCTTTTGAGTTCACATGGGCTAAGTTTGTCACTGTGTTTAGTTAAACACAACATCAACAATATGAAGGTGCAACCACTGCTTAATTAAGTGCTACATTTGCATGCAGATAGGAATAATTTGCTAACTTGTTTTTGTCATGTGTTATCAGGTTTACCGGTATTTCTAGATCTTAATTTTGTCATAGTTTGGAATTTCATTGGTGATTTATTCTGGTGAGGTCAAAAACAACATCTAATTTTCAGCCAGAACATGAGGCTGGCTGACCATGCCTCCAGCTACAGCATATGTGTGTTCACAAAATGGGTTGAAACCAATTCAAAAGGAAATTCTTCAGATGAACAAGAGTTTTGCATGAACATTTGAGTAGCTTCTGTAAAACTCCTCATTATTGAAGAAGAAATGTAAGACATATATAAATTATTTGTGTTATGCAAATTGGATACAGAGAGAAACATAACAGTTCTTAATCATTTGGTAAATAGCCTGCAGGGATACTAAAATATTTCAATTACAGTGCGAGGTTCTCAGTGAGAAGACAATTTTTATATGTATTGTTATCTGCCAATACTTAGTCTGAAGATGACTGTCTTCTAGAATATTGCACTCTGTAGTCTGGTAGAAGTTAACCAACATTTCAGGGGTGCTTGCTGCCTCCATTATCATTGTGATGACCAGGGGCTGCACACAGTCCTGAAAAGTCAGTGAACTTCTATCAGAGTGCATGGTGAAAAATCCCAGAAGGCAATCATCTTCATACTTGCCACCATGAGAACCTGAGATCTTACATTGCTTATCCTTTTTGATTGTTCCCTTTTTATCTCATTACATCCCAGTAAAATAGCATAACTCATTTCTTATGTATTTTGAATTTTGGTGTTTTGAAGAAATTGCACATCAAACTGGAACCTGTAGAAAAATTATACCAAAGTAACAATCAGTTTTGAAGTCATACATAATTGTTTTTCGTCATAGCCTTGTACTTCCCAGAATGAACAGAAATTTTCAGACGAGGGTCATACCCAGAATGAGTGTGATTGCACGCACGTGCTCATCGGAAAAAGAAGAAGAAAGACAAAACGGGGATACAAATTTTCACAACTCAGTAAAATATATGTTACTTGAATTTACTAAAGTCATTGGGTATATTTATATATTGAAATAAATGCCCCAGAGGGACTTCTTTGACTTTATGCAGCTGATTAGGAAGGAAAGGTGGTCTGTTGATTTCAGTGGGGACAAAATAATTTGGAATCAATTAAAAGAATTTCCTGTGCATCAACAAACACTGCATGAAGTCAAATTCATAAATTTCAATGACAAAGAACATAATTTATTTCATATACATTATCTTCCATTTCATCAGAATAGAACAAAGATGTATTATCATTGTGTGTAAGTAGAAAAATTGCTCTTCCTTATAAGTTGTTCTACTCCTTGAAATACACAAATTGTCGACCTTGTGCTATATGAGTTTTATGTGTGTCTCAAAAAACCTTCACTCAGCATTACATAATCATGAATAATACTATTAATACTCAAATTTATAAGGGGAACTGGACACTACATAATAGGCATTCCTCAGTGACCTTTGATTTTAACCTTCCAAGTAAGGAGCTAGAAATCCCAATTGTTGACAGACCCTGAGAACCATGTTCTGGCTCTCCTAGAAAACTAACAAGTAAGTTATGATGATTTCCCTTCCTCAGAGCAATACAAACAACTGACTGGACAATGGAGATCAAATAATAATTGACTACTTTCACTTTCCACAGATTTTATACAGCAGATTGAATATAATTGAAGAACTCAAAAGAATGAGTTGTGGCCATCTAAAAGAATAAAGTATAATTATCCTGAGGAAGAAAGGAGTGAACAAATGCAAATATAGGGAAACATTCTATTTTAAACATTCATAACAGGCCAACTAGAACCTCTGATAGAAAGTATTATGATTATTTTATATATTGCTTTACACTACAGTAGGTCATTTCTGCCCATTAAATTACTTTGTTGTCTTTTAATGAACATTGGTGTTTCTCAAACTTCTTATGTAGATGTGAATTTAGAACTTCATCACTGATAGATAAAAGTAAGTAAGAAAAGTAAAGCTGTTCCACTATATGCCAAAAAAAGTGTGTGGGGGGGGGGGGGGGAGAGGTGGTATAGCTCTTACTCAACCTCAGCACTAGATGGGGGTGAGTGGTCAGTGTCACGCCCTGGCTATGCTTTACTCCCGGGAAAGGATGCCAGTGCTCATTGGATAGGAGGCTGGGTGGGCCCAAGAGCCAGACTGGATGCAAGGGCTAGAGGAAAAATCTTCTGCCCCTGTTGGGGATCAAACCCCAGTCGTCCAGTCCGTAGCCAGTAACTATACTGACTGAGCAACCCCAGTTCATTCATCACTGATAGATTCTTCTTTAAAATTAAAACATTTAGGAACTGAGAGGCAATAAAATTGGGCGGCTTTTTAAGACATGCAGAAAGGCGAGACAATGAAATTTTGTATTTTCCTTTAACTTCCTTTACTGGAAGTAGTTCCAACATTAAAAGGTTTTATGTCTGAGTTCAGCATTAAATTAAACATTCCCTTCTGTAAGCACTTCAAATTCTTACTTTTTGCAGTTCAAGACCAAAGTCCAGCTTAAAGAATTAACTTTGAGACTGTTTTGAGATACAGTTACTATTTAGGTTGGGGTTCATACTGAAGTATGTAATTAGAGACACAATGTGCAGAATTCCTGGATTTGAGCTCAATTTCAGAATCACTGGTGTTCTTTATTATATGTTAATTACTTTCTAGTTGCTTCTTATTATGAACAGTTATTTTAACTGTATACATTATTATACCCCTGGTGTACATTTTTATTGTAGGTGATCAAATGAAAGATGATGAGAAGGTTCAAAGAGTGATATTTGTCAGCGGGAAACACTACTACAGTCTTGTAAAACAACGCATAGCCTTAGGTGCAAAAGATGTTGCACTTGTGAGGTTGGAAGGACTGTCACCATTTCCAATACTCAGTTTGCAGCAGGAAGTAGCCAGATATAGAAATGCTAAAAGTAAGCAACAGTGTTTAACTGCTTTGTGTGTTATATAAACATGACAATGTTTTTAATAGACATCCTATTTAAAGTGATGGGAATTAAGTTTATCAATACACTGTCAGGTGTTTTTCTCATTTATTCAGTTGCCCTAAGGACATGAGATTTGGTACTTGGAACATTAGGAGCCTCTATAGGGCTGGGGCACTGAAATCAGTGTGTAGGGACTTAACGTAATTTTGGAAGGACGTTGGTGCGACATCATTGTCCTTAATGTTCATGCCCCAACTGAAGACAAAAGCGATGATATCAAGGATAGCTTTTATGAAGAATTGGAATCAGTATTTGATACATTTGGCAAGTATCACATGAAAATTCTGCTAGGAGATTTCAATGCAAAAATTGGGAGGGAGGATGTCTTCAAACCCACAATAGGCAGCGAGAGTCTCCATGCACTTAGTAATGATAATGGCGTCAGAGCAGTGACCTTCGCTACGTCAAAAGATTTAATTGTAAAAAGTACAAAATTTCCACACCGTGATGTTCATAAATACACTTGGACTTCCCCAGATGGCAGAACACACAATCAAATAGATCATGTTTTAGTAGATAAGAGAAGGCAGACAAATGTAATTGATGTGAGATCATTCAGAGGAGCAGATTGCGACACTGATCATTATCTGGTGGTAGCAAAAGTGAGGGAGCGGCTTTCAGTAAGTAGACGAACTAAACAAAATTTTGACACAGAAAGATTTGATTTGAAAAAATTAAGTGAGGGAGAGGCAAAGGAACAATATCAAGTTGAAATTTCGAATAGGTTTCAAATTTTAGAGACAAATGAGGATAATGAAAGTGTGGACATCAACAGGGAGTGGGAAAATGTCAGAAACTGCATCAAAATTTCAGCAAAAGAGAAACTAGGATACTACAGGAGAAAGCAAAATAAACCGTGGTTTGATGAAGAATGTTCAAAATTAATAGATCGAAGGAAGCAAACAAAATTTCAATGGTTGCAGAACCCAAACAAAACAAATGCGGATAATCTATGTAACGTGAGACGTGAGGCTAGTAGAACCTTTAGGACTAAGAAAAGGGAATACCTGAAGGGCAAAATTGCTGAACTTGAGACAAATAATAAGGAAAAAAACATCAGAGACCTGTACAGAGGCATTAATAACTTTAAGAAAGGATATCAACCCCAGACTAATTTGGTAAAGGATGATAGTGGCAATTTGCTTGCAGATCCAATAAAAATTGTGAATAGGTGGAAAAATTTCTTTAGCGAGCTCTTAAATGTTCATAATACTGGTGATATTAGACAGATTAAAATGCATACAGCTGAACTGTTGGTGCCAGAACCTAGCTTAGATGAAGTGGAACTAGCCATTGGGAAGTTGAAAAGTTATAAATCTCCAGGAATTGATCAGATTCCGGCCGAATTAATTAAAGCAGGTGGCAAAGGGTTGCATATGAGGATCCATAAGCTTATTCAGTTAATTTGGGATAAGGAAGAGATGCCACATCAATGGAAGGAATCCATAATTATTCCTATTTATAAGAAGGGGGACAAGACTGAGTGTGGTAATTACCGAGGAATATCGCTGCTATCAACCTCATACAAAATTCTATCCAACATTCTTTTGGCAAGATTAACCCCATATGCGAATGAAACTATTGGGGATCATCAGTGTGGGTTCAGACGAAACAGATCAACGATTGATCAGATCTTTTGCATTCGTCAGATACTAGAGAAAAAATGGGAGTTCGGTGGGACTGTACATCAGTTATTTATAGATTTCAAAAAAGCCTATGACTCTGTGAAGAGAGAAGTGCTATATAATATTCTTATTGAATTTGGTATACCAAAGAAGCTAGTGGGTCTAATAAAAATGTGCTTAAATGAAACCTGCAGCAAAATTCGAGTAGGTAAATATGTATCTGAGACATTCCTCATCAAGAACGGTCTAAAACAAGGAGATGCTTTGTCTCCCTTGCTCTTTAACTTTGCGCTAGAATACGCCATCAGGAAGGTCCAAGGTAGGCAGGAGGGTTTGCAATTGAACGGGACACATCAGCTATTGGCATATGCTGATGATGTTAATTTATTGGGGGACGATATAAATACAATAAAGAGGAACGCAGAAGTTTTACTAGAGGCTGGGAGACCAGTGGGGCTGGAAGTAAATTCAGAAAAAACTAAGTACATGTTAGTATCTCGTCATCAGAAGACAGGCGGGCAAAATTATCTTAGGGTGGCTAATAAATCCTTTGCAAGGGTTACAAAGTTCAAATATTTGGGAACAGCAATAACAAATCAAAATGATACTTGTGAGGAAGTTAGGAGGAGACTAAATTCCGGAAATGCTTGCTACTTCTCAGTCCAAAATATTTTGTCTTCCCGTCTGATTTCTAAGAACCTGAAAATTAAAGTATACAAAACAATAATCTTGCCTGTTGTTTTGTATGGGTGCGAAACATGGTCTCTCACTCAGAGGGAGGAACACAGATTGCAGGTGTTTGAGAATCGGGTGTTGAGGAGGATATTTGGGCCTAAGAGGGAAGACGATGGGGCGTGGAGAAAACTGTACAATGACGAGCTTAAAAATCTGTACTGCTACCCCAGTATTGTGAGGGTGATTAAGTCGAGCAGAGTGAGATGGGCGGGACATGTAGCGCGCATGGATGGGACAAGAGGTGTGCACTGGGTACTGGTTGGGAAACCTGAAGGGAAGAGACCGCTGGGGAGACCTTGACGTAGATGGGAGGATAATCTCAGGTGGGATCTATGGGAGATAGGAGTTGAAGGAGACTGGATTTTGTTGGCCCAGGACAGGGTCCGGTGGAGGGCTTTGGTTAATTCGGTGATGAACCTTCGGGTTCGGTAAGCCATCTAGTTGGTTGGGTCCACTATTTGGGAAGCCTGAAGGGAAGAGACCGCTGGGGAGACCTAGACGTAGATGGGAGGATAATCTCAGGTGGGATCTATGGGAGATAGGAGTTGAAGGAAACTGGATTTTGTTGGCCCAGGACAGGGTCCGGTGGAGGGCTTTGGTTAATTCGGTGATGAACCTTCGGGTTCGGTAAGCCATCTAGTTAGTTAGTTAGATTCAGTTGCCCTGGTGCTCATTGGATATGAGGCTGGGAGGGCACTGGAGTCATTAGGGATAAGGTGGCAGCTGAACCATCCCACCTCATATGTGAGGTTTCAATACATAAAGAGAAATAAGACACTTTTTATTTTTTCATTATTCTCATTTACAGTTTAAATGTTTTGCTTTCAAAACTGGGTGAACTAAGAGAAAGAGAAATTAAAAATATGTAAACATGATAATGCCACAATGTTTTTGTACTAATATTAAAGTTATTAACACAGGGAATTCTGCTTTTAGTATTTATCTGGAGTCAGGAGGAACATCAAAACATGGGAGCATGGAATTATGTCCGACCACGCTTTGAGAACCTTCTTGGGCTAAGAGTAAGTACTGACATTGTGATGTAGTGGTTAGCAGATATGCTTCATATGTGAGAGGTCACAGTCTCATATTTCAATTGGAGATCAACTATCTTGACAATTTTATCATAATTTTTCGGTGTCTGAAATGAAAATACTGAGACAGTACCTTAATGTAGGCTACAATTATTAAATAAAACAAGAAACAATAAAACAAAGCATATGTGTTATATTGTTGAAATGTTGATAATTGCACACATTCTTTAAGTCTTATTTTACTCTGTTCCTACCATTGATCTGATTTTAATTACCAGTGAAGACGTAGCTTTGGGATAATAACTAACATTCAAAGTGAGTTTCAATAAGTTTTCTCAATTTAAGTAAATTACCAGTAAGGAATCTTTCCTTCATTTATTCTCTGAAGAAAATTGAAAAGTAATGTAATTACAAACTTCAGGTAACAAATGAATAGTTTTCCTTTGTTTGTAGGATGTTATAAAAATATGAATATCATCAGCTTGTCATTTTTTTACAGCTCAAGTATGCAGGTCGAAGACCACTTGCAGCCCCTGCTGTTGGAATTGGACAACTGAATCAGAAGGAGGCAGAAGAAGTCATTACTCAGCCTTTCACTATACGATGAAGAAGATTGTGAACTGAAACTGCTGTAAATCATGCTCTATGAATTTATACTGTATCCAATATTTTGATTGGTTATGATTTCTAAAAACATCTTTATTTTTTATTTGGTTTGTCTACAACACCACTGAGTATTCATACCAGCAAGGAATGACAATTTTATTAAAATTTTTACTTCACAAATAAAGTGTGTAGAATTTACTGCTCTTCTGTTAGTATTTCTTATTTTTCCCTTATCACCTTCTCCTAATCTCAGCACTATATTATGAAGAGAATAAAATATCTCATAAGATAAACCTTTTTAAAATGAAGTTAAGATTCCAGCCTGAGAAAATATCTGTAAACTTTCTACTGAATTGTGGATTGTAATTTTCTCATACTTTCCAGTGAAAGTTCAGCATACTTAGTCATGGAACTATCACTTGAGTTATTATTTTGGTTTGCTATGAAAATCGTGCAGGGTAATTAGTTTTGAAAGAAATGACAATGAGTCCACATTACAAGATTTAATACATTTCCTTATTTTGTAGGTAAGTTATGTAGAAACAAATAATCGCATTTTCAGAATTATTATTTGATATTACCCTTTTCCTTACATAAAATCACTGAAGTGATGCAACATACCATTTTTATAACTCAAAGTCTACAGAAAGTCCTGGTTACAAGGTAAAACACTGGTAAGATAGGTCAGTGTCTGCGACATGTTATTTTTTTTTGTGTTCACTGAAACAGTTCTTGGGTTCAAACATAGGCGCATATAATCCTGCATCACGTTTTGCATGCCTGTATGGCGTGATGTGGAGCAATGACAATACTGTACTGTAGTGTGCACATTGGTAAGACATGTCCCCTACAGGCAGACTGATAATATCTTGTCTAGAAACCATGAATGCCTTCAAACTTATTTTGAGATACGAGTATACTCACTTTCCTTGTCCTTTACAGATTTCACAAGACTCCAATAAGACCACTGGCAACAGACATGCATAATTTCTTCAGTGATAATGTTCTTGCTTCTAAACTCCTTTCCTTGTACAGAATGAAGTTACTGATGATTGAAACATTAATGAAAGGTAAGCACCACTTTCAACTCTGTTTCATACTGAGATTTCAGCATGTGCGCTTTAACAAGTCCGATGTTTACATAGTATTGTGCGGACATAAAATCCATCCAACATGTCATCTCTGTTCTTCCTTGCCACAGAATGCCTTTTCCAACTTTCCGTAGTGTTGCAGTAATGCCACTATTGCTACTCCTAACACAAAAATCACCTCTCTTCATGTGTCATTCTCAAAAGCTTTTCTTCACTGTGCCACATTCATAAATTAGCTTCTTAAGCCATGGAGTTGATTATGCATATGGTACACTCAAGTCCATGTGTGTCACCTGTAACAGTTTTTCATTCAACTGACTTTAGTGGTTAACATACCTGATTTGTATTCAGGAGATAACATTCATATCTAGGCCTAGATGTGCTATCCTGACCCAAGTTTTCTGTGGCCTTTGTCATTCCTTCTTCGCAAATACCAAGTTACATTTGTAAGATTTACCTATGGTATTTATTTGCTGCCCAGGGAGTAGGAGGTGAGCAAGACCCATAGCTGCAGGGTGAGAGTGTTAAAGTATTTATTGCATGACCTATCTCTGTCTTAACAGGTAAGAATACACGATTGCTGTACATGGTGATCTTTCATTACTGCTATCATGAATACAAAACAGCTTTTTCAGGCAGAGCTGCAGATACACTAACAATGAAGTAAGCCAAAAGACCTCTTCCTTGCAAATGTTAGGGCCATTAGATCTGATCTGATGTTATGCAAACTGTTTGACCCAATTTCATTTATGATCTTAAAGCCTGCTTTGAGGTCTGTACATGAAAGCCCTTCCTCTTAATCCATATAGCCTGGCATCCATTAACATGATTTCTCCACTTCTCCTGGTACCCCTTAATGCCATTTTATTAACCTCATACAAATTCCTTACAACCTAAATTCGCTGTCTCTGAGTTACTACTTTCATTCTAGGCAAGAACCTCATTTTTGCTGTTTAACCCTCTATTTACCTGTTGTTCTAAAGGCCCAACATTCACTTCCCATACAGCCTACAAAGATTTTTTTTTGATATGACATTATGAAATCTCAACTGGACTGCCATGCTCATTTATTTACTGTAATATCCTGTCACTTCTTCATTCATTTTATTATATGTCCCAATATTTATATACCGGGTTGTTCCGGTGTGTAGTCTGGTCGAAGTTTACCGACGTTTCAGAGGTCATTGCTGCCTCCATCATCATCTACAAACCAGAAGACAGCCATCTTCAGACTCAATGCTGTGAAAACCTCAAATCCTACACATTTATATACTTCTACATTTACATCGTTGACCTGATCCAAAATTGTTCAGTTTACTATGACTTTTGACCTAATTATATACTTCCCTCTCATTGCCACAACTCTCGATTCATTTTCAGATATCTTCATCTTACAGATTTCCAAAATCTTGTTCAAACTAAACCTCTTTCTACAAATGTTCCTCTTCTTCCGCTAATAATACTTGCTCATCAGCATACAAAACTGTACCTACAGGGAAGTCTGCACAATTTTTATGTGTACAGGTTTTGCCATTTCCCATAATTGTATTTGGGCCAAACATAGGCTTACAGTAAACAGAAGAGGTGATAATCTGCATCATCTATGGCCCTCATTTGCTAAAATTGTATTTGAGTATTTTTGTAGTGTAATTTTATATCCTTCTATTCCTGATTATGTTTGTCAGTAATAAACATGTAGCGAATTACAAATATCTACCGTATCATAAAATATGTCCAAAGCTGGTTGTGTACATATGTACTGGCTTCTTAATGTCACTGACATCTTCCAATTCATAGTCACCATTCTTCTCTATCCACCCATTGTCCATCAAATCATCTTTGCCATTACATTCTGGATTCCTTTCATCCATTTATCTTATGGTCTTCCCTTTTCTTTCTTGGTGATATCCACTCCAGCATTTGTTTTGTCTATTATTTGCCAGTCTTTGAACATGTCCATATCATATTAATTGTATTGTTCTTACATCATCCAAAATATAAATTTGTAAACCCACCTACAGCCTATTTGGTTTGGGATTCTTTCTTTCCTTACTATTCTTGCAAATTGTCTCCAGAAGTCCATTTCCATCATTTTTTTTCCATTTTAAAATGCCAGTCACAGAGGTCAATATTGCATTAATGTGTTCCAAGGTCATTGTTAAACCTTGTTTGTTCCTCTGTAGTTTCAAGGTTGTGTTGAAAGCTGGATTGGTAGTTTGCTAGATGTTTGATTTTCTAATATCCTGACTAGCCTAAAGTTGATCATTCTCTCTAGCAAATTGAAAACACAGCTGGTGAGACATATTAGGTGATGGCTGCATGAAAGGGAATGATCTTTACCTGCTTGTAAGATGGGGACTACTAGCACCTCTCCCCATTTTGGTGGAGAGGAGCACCTCACTCTAAATCTTGTCGCACATGTTCAGAAAGAACAAGGTAGAAGTCTCAACAATTGGCTGTGAATGGTGTCAGGCCCAGCAGATGTTAACTGTGTATGCATTTTAGAGTACTCTCCACCATACAGAAGGGTGAGTTGAGATTGTGGCTTTCTTTGCACGTTTTAACCAAGTTAACAAACAGTTACTAGTACTGTATTCCACTCAGACATAAATTAATTTACAAATATATCAGTTCCTGCACTTTTATTAACATGCACAAAGATTTAATATGTAGGTTAACAATAATATCCATTCAGTTAATAAATTAAATTTGTCTGTAATCAATGTAAAACACACTGAACACTTTTTGATGTAAGTGTAAGCATGCCCTGACTTCCAACTACTGGTATTTCAGAACTTTTCTCTATAACTAATCTGCAAATGTGAGAGGCAGTTTACTAAGCAGTACATTTCTGAGAACAGGTATCAGAATGTAATATTATATTTGGATTTTCCAGATTGACATTTAATAAAAAGATAAAAAATCCTTTAATGTACTGTTAAGGTAAATCTTAAGAGTCAATGGCCTACATTTTGAGCTACTCATCGACAATTAGACAAGAAAATCTTATTGGGAATCCAGTTTTTATTTTGACTACAATTCAGCAGTCCTTAATGCTGATGACACCTACGGTGCACACACCAGCAGGAAAAACTGTGTAGACACCAGTGACTGCAAGTTCTTTCACAGAGTGTGCTTAGTCCCTTCACCCTAACATCTGTGCCTGGTTACCTGATTATATGCATCTGTGATTGCTTGTACTATATGAGTTGAAAATGCGTTTCAAGGTACTTGTAAGATAAAAAGCTTAGGGTCTACTACATTACCTTCCAGTGACTTCAGTTATGGTTGTTTGACCTTTATGACCTCTTTCCAGGTGGCAATGGTGGAAATTCCTGCTTTTCAGGCAGGACAGTCCACAATGAACACAACAGCAGAGGAGCTTTACAGCTTAACAAATAATACATGTTGAACTGCACTGACTATACAGACAAATACTGCAATCTTATAAGTACTGCTTCACACCATTAATAAACACCATCCTGTACTTAAATGCATGCATTTCATCACTAAAATTAAATAGAAAACCTCAAACAACAGCTCCAATTGCTGCTTTAACAACAACAGAAATGCATGTATAATATTAATTTTCCAAAAAATGTGCTTAAGAAGCTACTTACCTATTAAGAAACGCACATTACTTTGTATTTCTATATCAATAATCTGTTTTGTCTATAATATGAAAATTTGTATTTGAAGACATTCAAGTAAACATGACATTAATGGAAACAAAGCAATCCTGGTCTCTACTCCATGAAGAAACAAACTTTCAATGCTCTGGTCGTGTAGTCAAGAAGCTGGACTATGAATGGTGACACAGACACTCTTGTCTACAGAACATATATATATATTTACACATCTGGCTTTAGTTTCATTGCACCAGACTCACCAGATACAGAATCTCTCTCATGCTCATGTCAATGGCTTGCCAACATTGGACCTATATTTATGATGTTCCACCATATCAATATGTGAAACAATGAAAGCAATGATGTGTTATAGTACTTTATACTTGCGTATATTTCTAATATGTATACAGCACAAGTGCATAACTACAAGTTTGTGGTACATGAATAATTAAACTCACAGATTTGATGCTTCTGTCAAAAGACAATGCCTAGTACTACCACAGCTGAATAATGTAATGAAGTGCAATACCATTATAGTACTTGGCAATTTTTAAAAGTGATTTGTTGGGGAAGGAGGTAATAAAATGGAAGAATGTTACATACAGGCAGAAATTGGAACATGTCAAACATAACATACCAGAGAATCGAGAGCGTATTTCACTAGCATAACAAGTGCACTCTACCAAACAACTTACACCTCCACATGTCACATCCTGCACAGTCTTGTTTGTCCAAGTAACACTGGTTGTGTAGTGGAACGAACAGCAATGCATTCATTACACTCAATATTAAACCATGTTTTAGAAATATTTTTATGGCACTTGGAGAAGGTAGTTTTACTGTCAGTGTAAGATCACCAAACACCTACTTCTCATCCATCTATACAGCACTTGGAAACTGGATGGACTATGTAAAAATAGCTATAGATGTTATTTTAAAAATTCATTTAATTTTAAACATTTTCCAGTATTTGAGATGGTAATAATTATAACAGACGAACTTCAACCACCGTGTGATTGGCACACCTCCGACATGACTCACGACCTCAGTCAATGTTTTCTTCTCAGCTTTGTACAAAAGAAATCTCAAAACATACTCATATATTTACTTCACTCTCAAAATGTTAGTGTATTTTCTTTAACTAAAAATTCATAGATATACCAACATTAATATGTAATACCTTTCAAAAATACAATGAAAATTTACGACATAGCACGAAGTTTACACTTAGAAATTTCTGCTCAAAAACAGCACAAACACATTTAAGTCTATTTACATATGAAGGGAACACAAAATAAATCAACAGTCTTGTATGACAGAACAGATCTTTAAAAAAGTTGGCTAACTCCAACATCATTAGCTTGACAATATGACCCAGTCACACATAAAATCTTATTCAAGGATATGCAAAATGCAAATGTTATGGCTTGGCTCAGTGTCTGGGCATTCTTAAAGACCCACACACAAACACTCTGGCCTCACACTTTTAAATTTGATTTCACATTATATATAAAGCACGAGGGCAGTAACTGTATTAATACAGACACTCCACTATAGGATATATACAAAAAAAAAAGTGAAACTGAATACAAATGTAAAAACAGCCTCAAGAAACATGGCATGGAATACTATAGCTGCATACCATTTTGATTTGGCAAGAACTCCAGATCATGTTTTCTCTGGCACCACTGGAACAATATACAAGGTGAATACGTGTGGGTTTCACTTTTCCTTTCAAACATTTGCAGCACAGGGCTGAATATCCGACTTCGCAATTTTCTTACTGGTTACAGTAAACAGTTATATTTATGTATATTTACAATGATACTGTCATACACATGCATGCATACCAACATACACACAAATAGCACATTCATTCAATGGCCTGAACAATATATGCAGAAAAAAGAACACGATCATTACAAATTTTTCACAACACATTCAAGACCATTAATTTATATCTGTATGTATATCAATCAAAAGGAAATAATAATAATAATAAAAATAAAGAGATTCAATTACATTCTTGTCTCTTCAATCACTGGGATCTAGCACATTATGTGTGTAGGCCTTGCTTTATGAGGGGACTGGTGTAATTCGAGGTAATTAGGCATCCTCACATCCATGCACAAGTGGTCAAGGAACAATGTTTTTCCCCACTGCAGGGAACTACTTGTAGACACACTCACTTAAGCAGAACTTGCTGCCTGTCAGCATGAAAAATGATAACTTAATTGACCATGAGGGTATGTGACTCCATAGGAGCTGCTGAATCATACAAGGTATCTGTGTCTTGTGTTGGCTCGCCCTGAAGCTGACACTGATTTGTTAGTGTACCAGCACCACAGTCACAGAAAAACCTGAAACAAAAGGTCACAATATAATCAGAAAAAAATTTATGAAACTGCAGTAATACTATTGCCAGTCCAATGCAATCAGATACAATCCAAAATTCCAATGTAACTCTGACTCTAATAAATGGTAGCTGTCTGAAATTCTTGATGTAGCACAGTATTTAACGACAGTTCTTATAGCACGTCATAGTAGGTAGGAGGAGGTGCTGAGAGTTAACAGTTTAGTCAACACAACAATAGTGATCTGAGTACATGATGACATTTGTGTTACAAAATCTGTATTTTGGGAACAGCCATGCTGCAGGGCTAGTCTAAGTTTCAGCTCAGCCTCTGTTAAATTTATGGGATGTACGTGCAAGTCCATTTGGTGGTTTTCTTGACTGATAAAGTTTGTTAACTCGTATCACACCACCCGTTTCAAAATTCCTTACATGTTATTCTGACACATTACACTCAAATTCTATTCATCAGTTCTTCAGTATGGAAATGCACCAGAGTGACCATAAAGAAAAGTGTTTCAAAACAGGAATCTTTCATATTTTGAGATGAACCTGGACAGCCCAATCAATAAAGTGATTGGATGTGGGTCGGACCACTATTCACCACCATGTTTAGACTGGTTTCAGGGCCCAACTTATCTTGTGATATAAGAGACCACAGAGTGCAGAAACCAGTGAGAAAATTGTCACAATTATCACACAAAATAATATTCAATCAGGCATGAACCAATTGAAAAAATGGGTCTGAGTTATAATCCAAGAAAATGACACTCATTCAACTCTGATGTTGATAAAAATGTGACTGACTTGTCAATACTTATATTTTTCTGTGTAAAGAGTTATCCAAACTTAACATTTAAATGATGGGTATATAAATCCCTTATTTAGAAAGGTGGCTGGAATATTTATGAATGTAAACACTTTAAATAGTAGCAAATTGTTAAATAAATAGTATTTTCACTGCAGTGTTAAGTCTAAAATTTCTGAATACAATGTAGGCTATTACGGATGAATCAATTTTCCCCAGTATAGTTTACATACATTTTTTGCTTTGAAGGTGTTTTATTTTCTGTTTATTCTTTAAAATGTTGGAAAACAAATTAGTAACACAAACTTTTAACACACTGTACCATAGCTTCAGAATGGTGTGTTTCCTCAGTCACAGTAATTTATAAGGTTGCTTTTAAACAACTTATAGCCACAGATACCCAACTGCTCAAGGTCTGTCTTGTGACAGTTGTTTCTATTCAGACATCTCTGGCAGTGCATTTCATCAGTCCTTGTCAATTTCAGCAGGGATACATAAGTCTGGTAATCATTGAGGAAAAGTGATCTAACTAATGCAGATTTAAAATCACGTTTGTAATAATTTAGTTCTGAGAACCATATTTCAAGCACAGAGGAAATTTACAGGCTAAAACAGACCCAAGTGTCATGAAATAGTTATTTATGCACGACAATCAATATACAGGAAACAATCATAATTTTTATTTTACTTATTGTATGTGAATGACCCATGCATTTCATGAAAGAATAAACACTGAGTTAATTTCAAGTGCCAAAGTCTGAAATGTTGACCTTCTGCACAATGATAGGAGACAGATTCTTACTGAGATTTCTGCATTTCAGTGACAACAGACATGAAAATTATGACAGGTTATGGAAAATAAGAACTATTCTAGATATGCTCAATGATAAATATGCTAAATATTAAAGCCCAACTGAACATTTAGCAGTCAATGAAATCACTGTGCTGTTGAAAGGAAGAAGTTCCCAAACTATATATACTGAAGAAACACAAAAGGTTTGGGATACAAATCTACAAGCTATGCGATTCTAAGGAATACACATACAACAGTGTACTTAGGAAAACACAGGAACATGCAACAACCACAAAGACTGCAACTCACTCAACTATGTTAGAACTTACTACAGGGTATTATTATTATTATTAAGTGTTCTGTCTTACGACAGGTCCATTGCTCTGCCCAAAAAGAGCTCTCCAGTTGTCCCTATTCTCGGCTTCTCGCTTTAATTCCTGGAACGTCATCTTCTTTCCTTGTATAAGTGCTTGATGTGTTCAGTCTGTGTGTAGTAGCATAACTCTCTGGCATGTCACACTTCCCACCAATAGCAACCCTCTAGTTCAGCTGATAAGTAACATTCCCCCCGCACCACACCAGAAATGACTTCCCCCAGCAAGGTTTTTCTTGTGATCTGTTGACAGTACTTGGTCTTCCCTGTCCAAAGTAAGTCTGAAATTTCAATGAGAAAATTGAAGTGGGTAGAACAAAACTTCAAAATTTAAAGGTTCCAAAGGTGAAAGAATAATTTTTGTGTTCATTTCTATGTGCTTCTGCTATTGGAGTAAATGTTTTTCATGCAGTAACTCTTGTCTGCATATCCCATGTGTCTGTTATAGTCTTATACAATGGTTGGTTTCTCAGTTTCCATATTCATTGCAGAAATCTTCTTCTGCTGGAGGACGACGAATGTTTATTAGTATGTTTAGGTTTCATTTGTCTTTCCATACTACAGCTATCAAGTCACTCTTTGCTGTAGTCTTTGTCACCCCCTTTTAGTTTGAAGTTTTTTTACAACTCAGTAGACATTCCTTTTCTGTTTCATTAGACAGTAAAAAAGTGAAAGTCCCAGAATATAAGAACATCACCACACCATCCATCCGTGGGACGTAAAAGAAACATAATTCGTTAAATGTTTAACGAATTATGTTTCTATTAACGAATTATGTTTCTTTTACGTCCCACGGATGGATGGTGTGGTGATGTTCTTATATTCTGGGACTTTCACTTTTTTACTGTCTAATGAAACAGAAAAGGAATGTCTACTGAGTTGTAAAAAAACTTCAAACTAAAAGGGGGTGACAAAGACTACAGCAAAGAGTGACTTGATAGCTGTAGTATGGAAAGACAAATGAAACCTAAACATACTAATAAACATTCGTCGTCCTCCAGCAGAAGAAGATTTCTGCAATGAATATGGAAACTGAGAAACCAACCATTGTATAAGACTATAACAGACACATGGGATATGCAGACAAGAGTTACTGCATGAAAAACATTTACTCCAATAGCAGAAGCACATAGAAATGAACACAAAAATTATTCTTTCACCTTTGGAACCTTTAAATTTTGAAGTTTTGTTCTACCCACTTCAATTTTCTCATTGAAATTTCAGACTTACTTTGGACAGGGAAGACCAAGTACTGTCAACAGATCACAAGAAAAACCTTGCTGGGGGAAGTCATTTCTGGTGTGGTGCGGGGGGAATGTTACTTATCAGCTGAACTAGAGGGTTGCTATTGGTGGGAAGTGTGACATGCCAGAGAGTTATGCTACTACACACAGACTGAACACATCAAGCAGTTGAGATTAGCGTGTATTGAGTGCGTCTGTACTGTGTACTGTGGGTGTTGTGACAATATTCTATATTCAATCACAGGTGATTTAAAGATGCCGAGTGTACGTAAACAGGGAAAAACTATTCACGGGGAAGCGCGGGAAATAATATCCAGCGTAGTGAAGCTGTGTGATGAGGAAGCAAGACGGAAAGAGCTAAAATTTCCCTTGACCCATGCAACAGACAGAGCAGGCAGATACGCGGGTGTACCTAAGGCTTTAATTAATAAGGGAAGGCGAGAGTCAAAAGATAGAGACGAGAAGGGCACACTGTCACCTTTACACACGCCAGGGAAACACCGGCCTAGACCTACTGACAGGAATGTCACCATTGACTCCTTTGACATGTCAGTGATAAGGCGGACTGTGCAAGAATTTTACGCAACACAGAAGAAAGTACCAAGCTGCCCCAAGCTACTGCCCATAATTAAACAAAAAATTGACTTTCCATGGGGTGTTGATTCTCTATGGAATATTTTACATAACAGGGTTTAAGTGGAAGAAATGTCTAAGTAAGCGCAAGATCTTCATTGAAAGACCAGACATAGTAAACTGGCGAGGGAGGTATTTAGTGAATATTAAGACGCTTCACAATGAAGGAAGACAAATATTCTACATAGATGAAAGCTGGGTAGACAGCAATTTAACTTTCAAAAAGTGCTGGCAAAGTACGGAAGTTAAAGGGGTATGCTCTGATGGAAATGCTGGAAAAAGACTGATTATGGTTCATGCTGGATCGCGTACTGGTTTCCTTCAAGGTGCGGTACTGATATATAAAGCTGGCTCGGCAAGTGGCGATTACCATGGTCAGGTGAACAGTACAAATTTTGAAAAGTGAGTTAGAGAGAAAATGTTACAGAATTTGCCCCCCAGTTCAGTGGTAGTAATTGACAACGTTCCATACCATAGTGTACAAGCAGATAAAGCCCCATCAAAATATTCGGTTAAATCTGAAATGATCTCATGTTACAGCGGCACGGAGTTTTCTGTGATCCAGCTATGAGAAAAGGCCAACTGTATGACCTAATATTGACTAGGATACCAGTAGAAAAAAATTTCAAAATTGATCACTTACTAAATGCCAAGGTTACATTGTAGTTAGGTTGCCTCCATATATGTGTGACCTTAGCCCAATAAAACTAGCATGGTCTAAGGTAAAAAACTATGTTCGCAAGAACAATGTGACAGGGGATCTGTCTTTGAAGTGGCTGCTGGATTTATCAACAGAAGGGATTGCAACTTTGACTGCAAAGGATTGGGAAGGATACTGCCAACATGTGGAACAACTGGAACAACAATACTGGGAACGGAACGGGGTTGTTGCTGACGTGACTCATTAATTATTTCCAATCCAAATGACAGTAGCGATGACGAAGAGACTTCTTGTGAAGATGTTGAGTCTGAAGAAGCAACTGACTTTTCTGACTCTGAGCTCGCTCAGCCACTGTGAGGTAATTTTAAAGCTATACTCATTAGAAATAATGAAAGCCTTTTGTCTGTTGTTCCTTCAGTGGTTGTGGAACGAATGCTTTTAGGTTGGCTAGTAGCAGCTTGTCACTCACCGCGAAATCTTGCGCATTCCTACCAGGGCTTTTCTCGTGATCTGTACATCCACAACTCAACAAACAATTTGACATAAGACACAACGAACACTGCCTCTAAGAAGGAAGATGAGTTAGGCAGCAAGTGTGTTCAGTGAAAAACAGAGAAACATGGAAAAAATTCAGATATTCAAAATGCAAAGTGGGGTCATGTGTTGATCCTTGCTTCAGAGAGCATTATACACAATTACATTTTTTATGATTGTCTGAAACTACACTGGGAAAAGTTGAACATAAAATGTTATGTGCTGTAATTATCTTATTACTTGCAGCATGCCCACACTGGTACTGTGCGGAAATTTGACAAATGCTTACATTTCATATCAATCTTTATTGCCTGAAAGCTTACCATAGGCCTGATCATTCAGTATGTACTGATGAACAACAACACACAGAAAATATCTCAAAATCCACCATATTCACTGAGACATGAAATCAGGTCAGTTTCAGGTATGTGACCTTAGTTTCTGTAATATCCTCATTGAAACAAAAAATGTTCTTTGTGTCATTCTTCTATCTTGCCTAGTTTCTGACCTAGACAAAGTCTTCACCAGGACTCAAACTCAGGACAGATTTAAAGGGTTGTGGCCTTTTCTCCTGCAATTTCCTCAATTAAATAAAACTTTGGTCTTGATAAAAATTTTCTGTCGTGCTTAGTTTCCAAGCAACGACCCTGATAAGGACTTGAACTCAGGACAATTTTTTGGAGTTTTTACCTTTAAAACATCTCTTCCTGTACACATGGAGGAAGGATACCAAGTTTGGAATAATTTGGTTTATCCATTCTTGGGCTATAAGTGAACGTGCACACATCCATAATTCCAAAATCTTAATTTTATATATGAGTTAAAAAAAAGGGGGGGGAATTGAAAGGCGGTTGAAAGGGTGTGGATTTTATAATAGGGATTATGAAATCAGTTAACACTTTTCTAAAGTGCTTTTAGATATTTCTTTCTCATTTTGGCATTTTTCAGTAGAACAATGAAAAAATGGATTGAAGAAAACCAAATATTTTCAACAAAATCTTCTCGGGCAATCAGCCACATCAGTTGGTTATATGAAGAGACTGATGGGTTGGGAACAATCTCTGCCCCTTTCAATGGGGGGGGGGGGGGCCCCCCCCCACATCAGAACTGTGATAATGGGGACAAACATGGTTCCTGAAATGTCGGTCTCTATGTGTAACTAACTGAGGTGGCTGATTACCTGAGATTACCTCAGGGCGATGATTGATGTAAGCAAGGACCTCTGAAACATCAGTAAACTTCTGCCAGACTACATGGTGCAACAACCAGAAGACAGCCATAATTGTAAAACATTGTTTCCCCATTTATACTTTGACTAATATGGTTGTTGTTCTTTTTACCCAGCTAAAATTAATTGCATACGTTTTCTTAAATCTATGTTAGGCACTACACTAGATACTTTAGATGTATCAACACCCAGCATTCTGTATTCAGATATGGCAATTTTTAATTACATTAAACTTGTATCTGTCCATTTATGTTAAACTGGTATGTAACAAATTTAAAATTTCCTTAGTGGAAAGAGTTAAAGAAACTCACAAAGATGTTGAACATACCTATCATGTCTGATGAATTCAACTTCATGTCCAGCATGGCAGGTTTTAATACAGTTGACACAAATGGCATTGCGATCTGTTGTGTTGCATGTCTGACATCGATAAAAGTCATGCATTGGAAATGAGGTGTAGCTGGAGATCTTGTACAAACACTGCCCATTGGCAACTGCCTTTTCTACTGCATCTTGATTATTAAAAATCTTGTTATCTAATGATAAAGGAACAAATTAAAAACTTACATTCCACAACAAAGGTAGGGGGAAAAAAAGTAATGAATCAGACACGACAGCACCCACTACACTTTTGGTGCAACACTTATGAAGAAGTGGTAGCCCTTTCAATGCTGAAATGAAGGTCCCAGGATGTGAGGTGAGAAGTGATGAGAGCACATCATGTTAACAAACACTGAAAGGACTGACATCATGCCTGTAAGAAGATTTAGGATTAACCTTTGCTGTGCCACTTAACTGCACTGTTTCCTGTAACCAACAAGTTAGTATTTCCTATAAGAATGTAATATTTAAGGTAAGAACATGAACTCATTATGAGGGCTTGATGTATGAATGTGTTTAAATAATTTTCAAAAAATTTACCAACACACCTATCATTGCTAACTTTTATATTTAAAAACACTTCTGCAATCTCACAACTGCTTAAAAGTGAGAAAAATCAAACAAGTGTCTAGATCACACTCAAAAAATTAAACTCGCAACATGGCAGTCATGTTGCAGATCTGTACAACTTCAAACTCTTCACATTAGATGGCAGCATCTTGCAGACAAACAAGAACAAATTTTTATGGCTCAGAGAGGAAGTCAATGTCACAGCAAAGCAGAAAGTCATTCTTTGAAGTGGACTAATATAACATCTTGAAGCTCATCGCAATGCACAAACATCTGATTAAATTTAAACAATGTAGCAACAAGACTGAAATAAGCTGTAACACATTTAACCACATATGAATGTATTTTCTATTATGATAAACATGACAAAAGGTTAAAAATATTATTTTCATACAGTAAAAATTTCAGCATAACAAAGTTTTGTTGACTGATAAATGGCATTTTGTTATAATAAAAGGCAACAGAAACAAGCTAATAACATGAGATTTATTATTTTTACAAAGGTCAATGCATTTTTGTTGAATGTGTTGCACAATGCATGTTTGTAAAAATACTTGGTGTGTAAAAACAACTGTTCATCCTTCTATTACAATGTAAACTAGAATGAGCTAACATTTATGTGATTATGTAAGTTATCCTTTGCCAATTAATTACATAAATTATTATTAAACTGGTTGTCCACCAAAGCTTATGGATGGTCCAGCAGGCTGTGTCACAGCATCATACTGGCAAATCTTTAACTCAAAAGTTAAAAGTCCACCTAGCAGTCCTATACTATGGGTGTTTTAATATCCTATTTACATATAATAAAAGTTATTATGCATTCTTTTTATAAGAAGACATACATGAAGCATTTCAGTAATACTTGTTATGGACATCATGCCACCCACCGACAACTGGAGCCACTTTGTTTACTTCAAACAGGTCCCTAATCACCATCAATTTCATTACCACTGTTACTAGATTCTAACCCTGAAGCATTTTCTTCTACACAGTCAAATACTGACACAATATCATCATTACTGGCTGCTTTATCATGTGTTGGAAGGATTTGCAAAATGCTTTGTTCCTAGCAAAGATTGTCATCAGAATGTTTTCATCCAATAGTTCACCTAATTGACATCTAGACTACAATACATGCACAGATTTTTATGCTTGTGGCATCTAGTGCATGCTCAACAAACTATATGAAAGTGTTTGCTTAGGAATTGTCAACACATTCCATAAAGAAATGAATTAACCTGAACAATTTTCTTCCCTCCAGATGGGGACAGGTTTTACTTACACCAACATTCATTATTGTGAAAAAAATTCCCATAACAGTATATAATACTTTGGTAGGGGATGAATAATATTGTGATGTGTTGGGGTTGGCATTGTTGAACTGTTTAATGACATTGTTGTATTCATGCATTGTTGTATTATTATTGAAATTGTTGCGTTTAGCATTGTTGCGTCTGTTTATTGGCATTGTTGCATCAACCATCCGCAACTATGGCCACTGCCAGAAGTTCGAGCAACGAGCGGGTCGCGTAAAGGTGCGAGCCGTCGCCGCTACAGTCGCGGATGGGT